ACAGGTGTCTCCTGGGGACATCACATACCCCAGCCTCGCCTTTCTTCAGGTTCCTCTGTAGCATCTCTAGCCTCTAACCTTGACTTTTCTGGTAGTCACATGGCCTTAACAAGGAAGGTATCTTCCCCTACCAGGAAAGGGTATCTCAAGTGCCAGTCCCCGGTCGCATCCCAGCCTGGTTTGCCATACTGAAATAAATACACAGCAGGATGGAAAAGTAGAGATAAGTATGGGTCTGATCTAGAATTTTCCTTTTGTGCAAGACAATAAGTTTTGAGACCTTGACTGTGTTGATGATTGTCAGATCTGTTTTTTGTTGCCTCTTGTCTATTCCTGGGCACTGCACCAAGGGCCCAACGCTTCTTTATTTCAATATGTAACCCTAAATTCTTTTCCATTGTTGTACTGGAGAACAGGCACAACCTTAGGCACATGCTGTATCACTGAGCTACGTCCCTAACACTTGCTGTTTCTTAATACAGCTTTTGTCGTACTGGAAATAAAAGAGAAAAAAAGTTAAATCTGTCATAGTTGCAACCAGAAAATTAAGTTGCTTGGGACTGTGTCTAACCAAAGATGATGGTCTTTATAGGAAGAAGTTGTCTTCTTTTTTTTTGAAGGTTTATTATTTATTTATTATGTATACAATATTCTGCCTGCATGTGTCCCTTCAGGCCAGAAGAGGGCACCAGATCTCATTACAGGTGGTTGTGAGCCACCATGTGGGTGCTGGGAATTGAACTCAGGACCTCTGGAAGAGTAACCAGTGCTCTTAACCACTGAGCAATCTATCTCTCCAGCCCTAGAAGTTGTCTTCTTAAAATATTTTGATTAATTCTGGAGCATTTCATACAGTGTATTTTCCTCCCATATCCACCCTACTTAACCCCCACAACTTTGAGGGTTTTTTTTTTAAATTTATTTACTTATTTATTTTACATCCCATTCACCATTTCCCCTCCCTCTTCTCCTCTTAGTGCCTCCCCGCCTCCCCTCTGCCCCCGCCCCATCCACTCCTCCTCCAGTTCTCTTCAGAAAAGGGCAGGCCTCCCATGGGTATCAACAAAACACACGGCATGTCAAGTTGCAGTAAGACTCAGCACCTCCCCTTAAATTAAGGCTGGGCAAGGCAACCCAGCATGAGGAACAGGGCCCCCAAAGAGTCAGCGATAACCCCTGCTCCCACTGGTAGGACTCGCACAGGAAGACCAAGCTACACGACTGTCACATATATATGCAGAGGGCCTGGGTCAGACCCATGCAGGCCCCCTGCTGGGAGACCCTCTTGCACCAGGTTCTCCCTTACCCTGAACTGTGCCCACCCCTCGTCTCTTTCAGTACTCTCTTCCTCTGTCCCCGCCGCCCCCATGGCTTGTGTTCCCATCCCCATCTACCCTCAGGCCTCTCAAGAAGTCTCTTCTGTCTCCCCTTCCCAGAGAGACCTGGGCACCACTCCCCCCATGAACCTCCTTGTTACCTAGTCTCTCTTCGTCTCTGGATTGTAGGTAGCATAGTTACCCTTTATTTTACAGCTAATAGCCACTTATAAGTGAGTACATACCATGTTTGTCTTTCTTGGTCTGGGTTACCTCATTCAGGATGATTTTTTTCTAGTTCCATCCAGTTGTCTTCAGATTTCTTGGTGTCCATGTTTTGAACAGCTGAGTAATACTCCATTGTGTGAATGTACCGGATTTGTTTATCCGTTTCTTGGTCGAGGGGCATCTAGGTTGTTTCCAGGTTCTGGCTGTTACGGATAACACTGCTATGAGCATAGCTGAGCAAGTGTCCTTGTGGTGTGGTTGAGGTCCCTTGGGTATGTGCCCAGGAATGGGATAGCTGGGTCTTAGTCGATGGGCTTCCAGTTTTCTGAGCACCTGCCACTCCGCCTGCCCCAGTGGCTCTGCACGTCTGCACTCCGCCAGTCTGCACTCCGCCAGCCACGCGGGGCCTTCGCCCGTGCTCCACATCCCCGCCAGCGGGAGCCGTCGCTTGTGGTTTTGATCTTGGCCATTCTGACAGGTGTAAGATAGAATCTCAGAGTTGTTTTGATTTGCATTTCCCCGATGGCTACGGCTGTTGAACATCTCCTTAAGGGTTTCTTGGCTTTTTAAGATTCTTCTGTTGAGAATTTGGTGGTGGCGCACGCCTCTAATCTCAGCACTTGGGAGGCAGAGGCCAGCAGATCTCTGTGAGTTCAAGGCCAACCTGCTCTACAAAGAGAGTTTTCTTCTTTACTGCACACCCTGTTGGATTCAGTTTGTGTTGCCCAACTGCTCTTGGGAGTGGGCCCTGCCCTGGAGTGTGATCAATGCCCTAAGCTCACCTCGTAAAGAAAGATGACTCTGTCTCCCAGCAGCTCTCAACTGCTAGAGGCTCCTCAGGCAGTAGGTTTGTGCCTGTCTCTGCCCTCCATCCCAGAAAGGAATCAGAGAAACAATCCCATTCGAATAGCCTAGAGCTGGACTGGGGTGGGCTGGGGTGGGGTGGGGATAAAGCTAACTAAGGAAGTAAAAGACTTGTCTAATAAAAAAAACTTAATAATAAAATAAAGTTCCAGAGGATAAGGAAGACACCTGATGCTCATGAATTAGCAGGATTAGTATTGTAAAAAATGGCTGTCCTACCAGAACTATTTACAGGTTCAGGGCAATCTCATCAAAATTAAGATATGATTCTTAACAGAAATTAAAAATTAATTGTAAATTTCATTTTGAAACACAAAATACCCAGGATAGCCCAAACAATTCTGAGCGATAAAAGAACTGCTGGGTCCTCACGCCCCTGACTGTTATACTACAGGATTAGAGTAGTGAATGTAGCGACATACTGGCATAGGGACAGACAGACACACAGCCCATAGCATAGAATTGAGGACGCAGACTTTTCACACGCTGACTCATGTGAGTGTGTGACAGGAGCCACAGATACATAGGAGAGAAGACAGCATCTTCTCGCTGTTCAGTTTAGATAGCTGCATGGAGAAGAGTGAAACTAGATCACTGTTTTGTCTAGCACAGAGCTGTACTCAAGTGGATCAGGGACCTTGATATTAGGCCGGACACTCTAGTGGACAGCAGGGAACGGTGGGGAATAAGCTTGAACTCATCGCCATAGGAAAGGACTTTCTCAGCAGGACCCTGGTAGCACAGGCATTACAACCAACAATTGACAGATGGGGACGCCTGAAAACTAAAAAGCTTTTGTACCGCAAAGGACATCATTTGAGTAACAAAGCAGCCTAAAGAATCAGAAATCTTCTATCAGTGATGTGTTTGACACATGGTTAGTATCTAAATTATACAAAGAACTAAAAAAAAAAATCAATAACTCAATTAAAAAGTGGAGCATGGAGCTAAACATAGAGTTTTCAAATGATGAAATACAAATGGCTTTATGTTGTCTTAATCTCATAGCCAGCAAAGGACCAGATTTTTTAAGTCTACAGTGAGTCAAATGAGGTGATGCATGCCAATGATCCTAGCCCTCGGGAGCAAGGGAATCAGAAATTCCAAGCCAGCCTGGGCTACGTAGGCATGTCAATAAAGAAAACAAAACAACAACAACAAAAAAAACCCACAAACCTTTATATAATGAATAATAAAAATTCACAAGCAGTATATTCCCTAAGAGAAACAGTGTATGAACTCAGAAAAGTACTCAGCCGCTTAGCTAATCAGAAAACGGAAGATTAGCTGGGTAGTGGTGGCGCACGCCTATAATCCCAGCACTTGGGAGGCAGAGGCTGGCGGATCTCTGTGAAAATGGAAATTTAATGTGATACCATTATTACTTCCATGGCAAAATCCTGTGGAAGGTGTGCTAATACCTGGCTTTAATGAGGTGAGCAGGAGCAGAACTCTGTTGTATTGGTGGTAAACAAAACCATCCATATGAAGAGCCATTTGTGGAGCACATAGAAGTAAAGAGGTCTGTACCCAATGTGTCATCTGTGGGACACTGCAATGTATTAGTTGAGGGATATAGATATACACACACACTTAAAACAACGTGGGGTAATGAAAATTCAATACCTGATGTGGCCTGGACACTGGAATGTGTAAGTCGAAGGTACATACGTGGTTGCCTATAGCAAATGGGAATAATGAAATTTGGAAGCAGTTCGGGTGTCAGTTGCCAGGAGGATGGGCACAGGGCACACCAAGTAGATTGCTAGTACAGGAGGTATGGCATGTGCAAGCATGGGGTTTCTAAACTATGTCATAAGCCACTGCAGGCTTCCTGGGACATGTTCCATTTCTGTAACGTTAAAAGCAAGCACAGTGCAAACATGAGCACAGATTATATGTGATGCAGATCTACTTTTAAAGAAAAGCATTTCTTGTTCAGTAACATTCAGAAGACTGAAGATTGTAAGAGTTAAGCAGTGTCATCAGGTGGGAACACATGGAGGCTTCTATGATTTGGTAATGTGTGCTGTGATGTATTGTATTTTATCGTAGTTACTAATTCTTACTGATTTCTTCATAGGCATGAAGTAGTTAGAGCTGAACAAAGCTCATTTGTTCAGACATTGACAGTGAGAGAGCCTTGGTAATCTCGTGAGCTTTCTGACTTGCTTGCGAGTCTGTCTATCCACCCTGACCCTTTCTGTCAGAAGGGGTGTGGCTCAGGGAGATGTAAGAAGGACTGCCTGGCTAGCAACTGTTCACCTCTTTGTGTGACTTTAGATGAATTAGAACTGCTGTCTCTGTTTCATCACTGGCAAAATGCTGGTTGTCATTGTGAAAAATTAATGAGTTCCTAAATTTTCATGTTAAAGAATCACTGTCCTGCCGAGCACACAGTAAACATCACCGTACACTAGCATACCTGTGATTATTACCATCATTTAAACAATGAAAATGCTTTGTGAATGACCCAGAGTTGTTAAACTGTTACAGTTCTAACAGGGATTTCTATTCTTCCCAGGGAAGCTTGCCATAGGGATATTGTGAATTTGCAAGTGGAGATGATTAAACAGTTTCATACACAACTGGTACGTATAGCAAATCGTGTGTTAAGAATGGAGAGTGTGTGGATCTGAGGAAAAAAAATCCATGAAAAACCAATACATTTTTACTTAGTTGTTAGAGCTAATTGCCAAGATAAGTAAATGGAGTTTCAGACATTTTATTAAGTGAATTAGATCTTAGCTGCTCACCTACTTTTGAATTTGTGATAGTTAAGGCTTTTTTTTTTTTTTTTTTGCACAGATTTGTTTTTTGATGACTAAGCAAAAAGTTTCACAAATGTGTGACTGTAAGTCTTCCAGATACTTCATTTCTCTAGTAACCTTTGTGGTGAAGTCCAAAAACTACCATGTAGCTAGTTAATTGAGCATAAAAGAAGTGAGAGCTCGGTGTATGTAGCACACAGCTTGCTGAGTAACGTGCAGAACCAGTAATTTATAAACCATTCCCTCCTTTTCCAGAATGAAATCCACTCTTTGCTGGAAAGATACTCAGTGAATGAAGGCTTGGTGGCTGAAATCGAAAGGCTTCGAGAAGAGAACAGAAGACTCCGGACCCACTTCTGAGGACCCGGCCGACCTCGTTTTTATGAGTTGGGAAGTTTCTGGCACCTAGGAGTGACAGATTCAGTATTGTTTTCATGGCCTTGACAGTGGATGCTGCAGCAGGCACTATTCCATCTGTCAGACATATTTATATTTTTATATTACAGCTGCACAGAATACAGTCTTCCTGAGAGGGAAGTCAACGGGATCTGTATGTTCTGAATGTCTTAGCTATACACTAAGTGCCCTTCTCCTAAGAGAAGAAAGTGTGCGCAGAAGGATAGGTGTATGTTTTGTAAGTGACTTTTTAAAATGTATATTTTTGATGGACAAATTGTATTCCAAATTTTTTTTTTTTTGGTAGCCAACTTTGAAAACATTGGTATACCTTCTGTTTCATGAAGAAATAACTTTAAAGTGGCAATTGGATTTTTTTCATGCTATCGACTAGTCATTATTTTGTTAGCATGATAACATCAAGTATGATGTATTTATTGCTTGTGTGGATGGTACATGTTGAAGCTTTGAGTTGTACAGATACATGGTACCTTTAGCATTTCTGTCGCTGTGTTCTGAGGGCTCTGTACTCTGGTTACCTAACTTTACATAGGAAAAACTTCTCAGAGTTTGGAAAATTCAAGGGCTATACATCTGATTGTCTAATGAATTAACAGTGTGCAAAATCATACTATAAGGTTTTAATCACCATGGCTCAACATATAATCAGTGAAAATTTATTGTAAGATACTAAATATCACAATATTGTTGCCATTTTTTCCTCACAAATAAAAAGCATAATTATTTTTTCTATGCTTTGTACCATTAACTTTGTCTAATTATAGTATGCTACAAATAGTATTTTTCTATTGTTAGCCCTACCATGGTATTATTTATATAGGTTCATCATGAAAGGAATTTACACACTGGCAGCAGCTTGACATGCTCATCTGCCTGCCTGCTGTGATCCACTGTTTGATAGAATTTGATGAGAGGAGCTACTCATCCATTTACATTCTTGTTGCCTCTTGCCCAAAGATTTCAACTGTATACTTTGTTTGTATATAGGTCTGTTGCCCAGTTTTGCTTTCTGGGATCAAAATATTTACTAAAATGCAGCTTAGTTTGCCAACTTTATGGTTTTCTAAAGTGATGGAAGGTGTAAGGATATATTTAATAAATAGAAACCAATGAATAATTATTTCCAAAAACGAAACAGGAATGACTTTTCCCAGGTGACTCAGATGCTGTAGTCTTTTCTTGGCAGATATGACAGCATTATGACTTGTAACAAGTTTCCTTATATGTCACTCAAACAAGGTTAGAATGCAGAAGTACTTTGTCTATACACTATATTTTAATATATTAATATTTTCCTTTTTCTATAGGTGTATATACTGTGTATGAAAAGGGGTCTGATAAAACAGTTCAGTAATTTTTTGTGTCTAGGTGAAGCACTTGTCATGACTTAAACACCGAGTACAGTCAATAATTTTTTTGCATTCAGAGCAGATGATCTGAACTTGAACTTTTTGTCTCTGGCTGAAATGGAATAATAGGGATTACCTTAGCCTTCCATTGGAAATTTGAAAACAAAAACAAGATGTACAAAATCGTTTCTATATGTTAGCATGAGGCACCACATGGTTGTCTCTGAGAGACACTGAATTCTCAGGGTAATGACAGCAAATTTCTTAAAGCCAGCAAGGGAAACTGAAAATAGAAGCTGAAGAAAAGAGGGAAGAGGATGTCTTGGCAGAATATCTTCAAAGTTCTGAAGGTGGGTCTGCAGTTTAGATTTATACTCAGTGAAAGTGGTTTTCAGAAATGAAAATGGAACTTTTTCTTCAGACCTAGAAAGTCTGAAAGAGTTCAGGGAGCTACAGGAAATGTTCAAGAAGGAAAGGATACCACGAAAGTTGTAACTACACAAAGCAACCAGGACCAAAATGTTAAATACTAAAGACACTTCCCATTGTTTCAAAGATAAATGTAAAATGTTATCATGTTCTTAACCAAGGTAGAGCTGACATGTGGGCCGTGATCATGGTTGGGAGGATGCAGTGAAGTATCCTGTCCTGAGCTGTTCACACTTCTGAAGCAGGATGACAATATCTGGAAGTAGACTGCCATAAGGAAGAACGTCAGCTGTAATGGCAAAAAATTGTAATAAGCTCGTGAAAGTGATCAGTTCCAACCATAAAACAGCAACAACAACAAAAGTCCAAATGGCCTGGAAGTGGCTAAGTGGGTGAGAACATCTTGATGAGAACCAGTTTGAATACCTAGGGTCCACGGCACATCTGCAGGGCACATCTGTAATGCTGTTGCACCTACTGCGAGTTGCGAGACAGAGACAGAACCTCTAGAAGACTGGGCCGGCCGGATGGACAACATCTACATAGCAAACAGAAGACTCAGCCTCACCCACTCTGGAAGGGGAAGATCAACACTACTGATCGTCTTCCGAACTCTGAATGTGGACTATGGCACATGCATGCCTGCACTAATGGACACTAATGCACACACACAAATCCGAAAGAAGGTAGCTGAAAAGGTAAACAAGTTATGGGACAAATAGAAAATAAACAGCAAGATGGTAGATTTAAACACCTCTAGAATTACATTGCCTATAAGTTGTCAAAGTTACTTTTATTATCAGATTGAATAATTTAAAGACAACCCAACTGTACTGAACATAAGAAATCTAGTTTAAAGATGAATATATAAACTGTTTAAATGTGAAAAATAAAGTGAGTAGTGTATTGAGTTGAATGCAAATGAGAATGAGATTCAGGAAAGAAGGATCAGTTGTTAAGAGAACATACTGCTTTTCCAGAGGACCCAAATTTGGTTCTCTGCGCACACGTTTGGTGGTTCACAACTTCCTGTAACTCCAGCTCCAGAGAACTTGACAACTTCCTTTGGCCTCTGCAACCATTCTCTCCCTCTTCTCTCTCTTGCTCTTAAATAATTAAAGATAAGTCCTTAAAAACTGTGGAAACCACACTGTAGTATTTGTAGAGGAATGCATAGCATCAAAAGATTATTTTAGGAAAGGAAAGACTCCTATATTCATTGACCTCAGCTTCTATGTGCAAGTAGGTGAGCCCCAAAGTAAGAAAGGAAAGAGTGCAGTGGAAACAAAATCAATTAGGGGGAAAATAGTGAATTAAAGAGCTAGTTCTTCGCAGTAAAACTGATAAGCCACTAGCCACACTACTGAGAAAAGTAGACATAATTTCAGAAGCAAAGAAATCACCCATTCTACAAGTATTTCTGACCAAAAAAGGTCAAGTATGAAAACTGATTAATCCCTTCATGCATTTACAGAAAACACCCGTGCTGAACAAGTGCTCGCAGTGTTGAGACCAGAATGTGGTACCCAACTCACAAAAGCCAGCATCACTCTGCTAGTCGAAGAAGATAGCATTCTGACATAAATGTAGGCAATCCCACATCGTAGTTGAGTAGTTCAAATCCAGCAGTCTGTTAAAAAGAAAAATGATACAGCCAAAGTAGCTTGTCAGAAGTGCAAACTTGGGATAATGAAGAAATCTAACAGTCTGTCACAAAGCAAACATTCTTTTGGTAGATGCAGGAATGTTTGACAAAGCCAGTATTCACTACTCCTGATTTAAAACTCAGATGCAAGTGAATATACAAAAACTCATTTCTATTCTATGTAAGCAGCAATTAATGAGGAAATTACATGCCACTTAGAATAGCATAAAAATGTGAGCTAGTGAGGGATAGATTTGATAAAAGACTTGTACACTGCATTCTCCAGTGAAAAAGTAAACTTTAGTAGTGTGGTATGCACATCAGGGGTTGAAAACCTTAATACTGTGAAATGTCAGTTTTCACATTGACTTGTATTCAACAGAACGACAATAAGAATATTAACAGTTTTTAGATAGCATTTGTGAAACTACCTTCAAAATTTTGAAGTACAAAATATTTGGGTAACCAAATAACCTTGGGAAAATAGTACATTAGTGTTTACATTTAATAATTTTTTGTTAAAAGGCACAACTACCCAAGATAACAGGTAAGTATAAATATAGTCAAATCAAGATGGTACCATAAAGTCCAGAAGTATATTCTCACATCAATACACATATGTTAGGGAGAGACCACCAGAGATCTCATAGTTGATAGCCAGTTGTAAGCCTTTGTTGCAGTTACCTGGGACTACACATGTATTTGAGACCTAAGTGTAGCACTGGGTGTTTCGAGTTAGGGGTTTTTAAAGGCAAAAACTACATCCTGATGTCTCACTTGGCAGCTGCAGGGGGAGGTTTTGCATAGGCAAGCAGTTTTACAGAAGCTAAGATAAGCAGTTACACCTGAAGGGGGGAGGTTTGCACAAGCAAGCTGCTTAACAGAAGTTAGCTGGAGCATCTTGACCTCAGATTCAAAGAATAGAATTGAGTAATTTAACTTTCTATGGGGCTTCCCATCAAGTGAATCAAATTCTAGTTAAACCTAAAATGGCCTGAGCAAGTGTACAAGATGGAGGAACCTCTGCACTGTCTTTCCATGTCACACATATTCCTCAACAGATTTGACATACAAATATAAATCAATAGAGGAGGTTATAATTTGTTTTGTTGAATGAGTGGATATCTATTTGGAACAAAAATTGTGAGGCATAGTTTGTACTATATAAAAGTTAACTAAAATAGATTAAACTACATAATTTTTTTTAATTAAAAGGTCGTTCTAGAAGACAACATAAGGCTTATGAGCTTATCAGTTTTGTATATATCAACAAATAAAACTTGAAAGAAAAACTTAAATTGGACTTGAGCAACAATTGATACACTCTTTAAAAAATACTCAGAGATTCAAAACACTAGGCATAATGGGAAAAATGCCATTTACTATCATGCATTCAGCGTAAGTTTTGAAGTGGGCAAATGATTTAGACAGGCACTTCGACAGTGATGGTGGTGAGTGTAAGAGACCAGCCCCCACACTTATTTACCCCAGGAACTCTTGAGGAATAAGGGACTTAGTTAGAAATAAGGGGACACACACACACACACACACACACACACACAGAAAACAGGATAGACTTGGGTGGGCCTGAATCTGTATCCATCAGCCCAGAACTTTATTCCAAAGGGCTATTTATAACAATGCCAAGGGGTGGAGCAAAAGACCTCCTCCTTGCTAGTTAGACTGTTACAAACACCTGGTACCCAGTCCCATGGTCCAATCAACCTCCCATGCAGTCCTGCTGGGTATAGCCACTAGGAAACCTAGTGGGCTCCAACAGGTGAGGTTGCAACTGTGCCCATGGGAAGAGCTGTGTAATCTCAATCTTCAGAGAAAGACCAAGCCAGGAGATGCTACTGCACATTCATTTAAGTACTGAGACCTAGAAATCTGGCTTGATCTTGGGTCAGTAAGGAAGTAGAACAACTGATTTTTACAGTTGAAGAATACAGAATGGTACAATCATTCTAGGGAACATCATAACAGTTTCTCCCATCATCCACAAGTCACCTACCTTAGCCATTCTACTCCAGACACTTAAATAAAACTTGCACAGGAATGGTTACAACAGCTCCATTGTAACATCTGGAAGCCACCCAAACACCTGTCAACAAATAAAGGAATAAACAAATCACGGCACAGGTAATGGATCTCCACCCAGCTATGTGAAGGGAAGAATTCTAATGTGCAGTGATGCGGATTAGCTACAAAAACTATCAACAGAAGCCAGTGCTATATGGTGACATGCAGTTCTAGAAAATGCAAGCCTACCTTGGCAGCAATCATGTTTGACTGTAAACATTAAGGAG